GTGTCTGGATATACTGGATAATAAAAGACCTCAGAATTTTCCAAATCTGGCAGTCCTGGGGCCATCTGAAAGGAGACATGAAACTCTCTTTAATGAAGTAAGTTTGATATTCATGTTGTCTTTACTTAGGGAAAGAAAGCTAAAAGGATCCGGGAGTTTCTGTTGGACTGCTTGCTATTTTATCGCCTTTCCCCATTTGTCAACACTTTTGCCGTCTATTTCCCGCCCAACATGTCTGCATATATTGGATTATAAAAAACCCCAGATTTGTCCAAATCTGGCAATCTTGGTACCATCTGAAATGGACTTGAACGTCTCCTCAATGATGTAAGTTTCATATTCATATTTGATTTGCTTAGGGAAGGAAACCTAAAAGGAGTCGGGCGTTTCTGTTGGACTGCTTGCTCTTTTTTTCGCCTTTCTCCATTTGTCAACACTTTAGCCGTCTATTTTCCGCCCAACATGTCTTCATATATTGGATTATAAAAGACCTCAGAATTGTCCAAATCTGGTAGTCTTGGTGCCATCTGAAAGGCAACATGTGAGTCTATCCATTGAAGTATGTTTCAAAATCATGTTTGCTTTACTTAAGGAAAGAACCCTAAAAGGCGGCGCGAGTTCCTGCTGGGCTGCTTGCTATTTTTTAACGGTTCCCAATTTGTCAACACTTTAGCCGTCTTTTTCCTGCCCAACGTGTCTGCCTATATTGGATCATAAAAGACCTCAGAATTGTCCAAATCTGGTAGTGTTGGTGCCACGTGAAAAGGGATGTGTTACTCTCCTCAAGGGTGTAAGTTTCATATTCATGTTTTCTTCACTCAGGGAAAGAACCTTAAAAGAAGGCGGGAGTTCCCGTTGGCCTGCTTGCTATTTTTTTTTTCGCCTTTCCCCATTATTCAACGCTTTAGCCGCCTATTTCCCGCCCAACATGTCTGCATATATTGGATCATAAAAGACCTCAGAATTGTCGAAATCTGGCAGTCCTATTGCCATCTGAAAGGCGACATGTGACTCTATCCAATGAAGTAAGTTTCAAAATCATATTTGCTTTACGTAGGGAAAGAAACCTAAAAGGAGGTGGGAGTTTCTGTTGGACTGCTTGCCATTTTTTCGCCTTTCTCCATTTGTCAACACTTTTGCCGTCTATTTCCCGCCCAACGTGTCTGGATATATTGGATAATAAAAGACCTCAGAATTTCTCCAAATCTGGCAGTCCTGGTGCCATCGTAAAGGGGACATGTACCTCTCCTCAATGATGTAAGTTTGATATTCATATTTACTTTGCTAAGTGAAAGAACCCTAAGAGACGGCGGGTGTTCCTGTTGGGCTGCTTGCTATTTTTTCACCTTTCCCCATTTGTCAACACTTTAGCCGCTTATTTCCCGCCTAACATGTCTTCATATATTGGATCATAAAAGACCTCAGAATCGTCCAAATCTGGCAGTCCTTGTGCCACCTAAAAGGGGACATGTAACTCTCCTAAATGATGTAAGTTTCATATTCATATTTGCTTTGCTTATTGAAAGAACCTTAAAAGGAGGCGGGAGTCTCTGTTTGACTGCTTGCTATTTTTTCGCCTTTCCACATTTGTCAACACTTCTGCCGTCTATTTCCCGCCCAACATGTCTGCATATATTGGATCATAAAAGACCTCAGAATTGTCCAAATCTGGCAGTCCTAGTGCCATCTGAAAGGCAACATGTGAGTCTATCCAATGAAGTATGTTTCAAAATCATGTTTGCTTTACTGAAGGAAAGAACCCTAAAAGGAGGCGGGATTTTCTGTTGGACTGCTCGCTATTTTTCGCCTTTCTCCATTTGTCAACACTTCAGCCGTCTATTTCCCGCCCAACATGTCTGCATATATTGGATCATAAAAGACCTCAGAATTCTCCAATTTTGGCAGTCCTGGTGCCATCTGAAAGGAGACATGAAAGTCTCTTCAATGAAGTAAGTTTCATATTCATGTTTTCTTTACTTAGGGAAAGAACCCCAAAGGAGGTGGGAGTGTCTGTTGGACTGCTTGCTAATTTTTCGCCTTTCCCCATTTGTCAACACTTTAGCCGTCTATTTCCCGCTCAACGTGTCTGCATATATTTAATCATAAAAGACCTCAGAATTGTCCAAATATGGCAGTCTTGGTGCTATCTGAAAGGGGACATGTAACTCTCTTCAATGATGTTTTTTTCATTTTCATATTGGCTTTGCTTAAGGAAAAAACCTAAAAGGAGGCGGGAGTTTCTGTTTGACTGCTTTGTTTTTTTCGCCTTTCTCCATTTGTCAACACTTCAGCCGTCTATTTCCCGCCCAACATGTCTGCATATATTTGATCATAAAAGACCTCAAAATTGTCCAAATATGGCCATCCTGGTGCCATCTGAAAGGGGGACATGTAACTCTCTTCAATGATGTAAGTTTCATATTCATATTGGCTTTACTTAAGAAAAGAAACCTAAC